ACTGCAACCGTCATAAAGTGAGTCAGTTGTTAAGCATCCAAATGTAAATCATATGACCACAAGGATGCTATAATGGTCGTAAGTGTGAAAAATTGTCACTTTTTTCAGTGCTGTTGTAACTTTGAATGGTCACTAAATAAATGGTTGTAAGTCAAGGACTAAGCCAGTGGTGGCAAACCTATGGCACGCGTGCCAGAGGAGGCACTCAGAGCCCTCTCTGTGGGCACGCGTGCCATGCCCACAGAGATGGCAACCATCCCTCTTCAACCAACTGCCCGCTAACTCGCCGAGGTCCCACATGGCCGGATGCATCCCAGCATGGCTGGTTTCCCTCCCCCCATCCCATTCCTCTTGGCCTCGCATGCTCTCCTTTTCCCGGCACGACCCACTGCATCACCTCCTCAGTTGTCGGCCGGGTGTCAAGCTCAGAGGTGGCTTCTCTGAACTGCTGGCAGCGGGCTGCGGAGCCCTAGAGTGCGCTGGTCGAGGGGCCGGCAAGCTGTGGCTGCTGACGGACACATCGCCCCCCATGTGCTCGCTGGCCTGTGTGCGGGGGCCGATGGTGTCAGGCAGCAGCCACCCCAGCCCCTGCCTCGCCTTGCCCTGCAACAAAGGTACCCCTGCCCTGCCTCACCTCACCCTGTAGGACAAGCCTCCTGCCCACCACCCCACCTGCCAGAGACCCCCCTGGATCTCACAGGTGTCCCTCCCCACAAACAACATCAAGGTGATCACGCCCACCTTGGCCACACACCCCCGTCTGCCATGACCATCACAGCCACACCCACCCAGTGGGCCACGCCCACCTGGCACCGGCGATAAATAAGTGGGTTTTGGGTTGAAGTTTGGGCACTCGGTCTCTAAAAGGTTTGCCATCACTGGACTAAGCTGTATGTTGGGATGAGGTGATCCTTTGCTAAAGAATCAACATCATCTTGGTTCTGTCGCCGGGACTATCTGTTCACATGAATCCTTTCAACAACAGTTGCTTATGAAAAAAACACGACTTACATAGATACATTTGGCATAAATTCTACCCAAATCTTGCACAGTACACACTTGAAATTTAAGCATCACTCTTGGGTTATTTACTGTTTTTTAACATGGGAATTGGGCCCTTCCACAAGTAGCACTTTTTCAAAGCTGGAAAATAGAAAGGGTTATAGAATTCTGCCTTACCATTAATGTTATTTTGAATTTTAGTGACATTCCGAACAAGGCTCTCTGCTAGCTGAAAGGTCTCCTGGGTAACATCCATCAGACTGTTTGCTTTTCTGTGGGTCATTGTTGCCTAAAAACAACATTGTCGGTTTAGATCACATGGAAAGGCACAGGGGCAGGCCAACCATTTGCAAGAATTGGGGAGTTTGCTTAAAGACAGTCGTTGAGTTCAATTTAATTTCTTTTAAAGGTTAATTTAAGATCACATTGTTGTCGCAGATACAGAGATATCATAAAGTAATATTTTAAAAAGCGATTTGGGTCACGCTGATGGCCCACATAATAGCCTTTAGATTCCTGGTGCAATCGGAAGAAATGTGGCTAAAACGTTAAGCCACCAAAGCTGTCTGAACATGCCATGTTCTCTTCACTCAGTTCTTTGGGTATGATAATTTCTCTCTTTGCCTAATATGAGCAGCAGTTTTGACAATGAGATGAATCACTAAAGGAGACGGAGGGCCCATCAACCAGGA